GCCCGCCGGCCAGGGTAGCCAGGCCGTTCCTGGGTGCAGGGCCTTACGCTGGAGGGGCTGTTGTGGGGAGAACGACAGAAAACCGGGGCTGGATGCGGGTGCTCAAGATCTCTCTGCAAACTGCGAGAAGGCGCGAGAGGAGGATTCCCAGGGGACAGGAACCCCCAAAATGCAGCCAGCGAGTGCAGCAGGGGCCGAGGATGGGCCGCCAGCCCCTGCTGCTCGGTGGGACATGGGGTGTGTCTCAGGAAGCCGTGCTGCAGCAGATCAGGCTGCTCTGCCTGAGGGTTTGTCACACGCTCAGGGTAGAGCAGCACAGTCTGAGGATTGTCCGTTGGAGGAGACTCCGGAACCTGAGGCCATTCCTGAGACTCAGTGTGAAGAATCAAAACCACAGGAGGAGCAAATGAGCGAGGACGGGTCCCTTACCCATACAGTGCTTTCTCAGAGGCTTCTGGAGAGGGAAGCACAGTGTTGGGAAGACATGGACCTGGACCTGGAATCTGCTGATGGTTCCTGCGGAAATAGCAAAAACTGGTCTGATCAGGCCCAGGAATTAGAAAAGATGGGGCTGGAAAGGCAGGGAAAAGGAACCTGGGAAGGCCCTGCGTCTGGCACTGGGGAGGCGAAGGATCAACTGTCCTTTAAGGCTGCTTCGGAGAAGGTGCCAGAGCTCGACGGAGCATCAGCTGAGCCATGCGTGGGGGCGGTACAGCAGCAGCACAACAGCCTGTTCCCCACGGCCAAGAGTGGCGTGCCATCGGAAGTGCCGCTGGGTGCTGGAACCCACCCTGGTTGGCCGGAATTAGACCGGGTAACGGGGAATCGGCCCCCGCTTCAGGAGAGAGGGGTTGGCATGCCGGTGACTCGGGAGAGCTGGGTGCCAGAGGATACGGAGGACACGGTTACGCCGAGGAACCTGGAGCGAGAGGCGCAGATGCAGCCACGTGAGAAGGCAGCTGCCAAGTCCCCCAGTCCTTGCGGAGGTGAGCGAGGGCGGGTTGGGGGTGGCTGGT